TTTACTATACTGGGCCCTGTGCGGAGTTGATCCCACGAAAGTCAGAGGAGGATGAGGCCCACGTATGCATTAGTAATCCTGAAGACCTTTATTACTTTAGATTGTTTAGATGTGATCAGGGCTGGAGCTAAACGGAGCTCAACTTTGGCTTACTATATTCGATAATATATAACTAAGTATTAAATAACTAAAGCCCTATTCGCACAGGATTAGAATTATCTGGGGACCTTGTGTGAATTTGAAATTACCCACCCACATCTGAATTTCACGGGATATTTATCGGGATAGTTACTTATTTGCACGGGATAAGCGAAGCCTGTGATTTTTACTCGTATTTACTGACTTATCTCCTGGATATGATGTCATTAGGCTATTGCTTGGAAATGTCTTGTCGTTATTATGCAGTTTGTCTATCTGTATGATATATCATAAACAGAAGAATTCTAACCGAATGTGTAGCCCTGAGTGTTTATTGCCCCTTTAAGAGAAAGATAAATATTGCCTTCGCGGTTGAGTGCAGAATGAATGGGAGTCAAAAATCCACTTTTCTCAGGATGTAATTTTTTGTCAAGTAATTTTAAAGTTGCATTCAAAAGGGAGGGCTAAGATAATACACTCAGCTGAAAATTGCATTTTTAAGTTCACTTATCTGTTCTAAAAATCCGTTCAAAACTGTGATGACGTCACACAATAGCAGAATGCTAGCGTGTCCCGGCCAACAACGGCCTAACCTGTAAGAAATCAAAAGGATATAAGTAGTCGTTCATTCGACTTTTGGCCTATAATCTATATTGAACTTGCGGAATCAACAATAAAATCTATGTTAATTTAACGACAAGAAGGTGAAAGAGACACTTTTAGCCGTTTAGCCCCATAGACTCCCATTCATTCTGCTCTCGCCCGCGATCACCCCCAGTGGAATTCTAATGGAACTGCAACCAAGGTGATACACAACGGGGCTAATAGGAAGTGCCAAGGCTCTCCGTTAGACGGGCTCTAATGGGGGTTCAGGTTTTTTTTCAGTAAGTTTCACATTCCTGTATCGGCTAGCGTTAGTTAACCGTGTGAGACTGTCTCGTGACATATGCTTGCTCAGATTTGAGGTAGAATTTTCACATTCTCCAACGGGGGTCCTGTTTCCAGATCAGGATGCTCTCTGCACATGCAAGGTCTCTCGCTCGCTCTCCCTCTCTGTCGTGTGCGCGCTACATGGACTACAGTCTCTGTCTCACATGCACGCTCGCTCTAGATAACAGGAGATTTTAACTAATTTGTGTTATAACTAGTCAATCACAAATGTGGCTCAACAGTTAGATTTATAGATAAACTCATCTTTCAGGCAGACCGAGATATCGGGGGTGTGGCTTGTGTGAGCGTGTGAAACCAATCAAATGCGTGCCGACATGTGCTCTGCTGCTCTCTCCCGCGCTCTAGTCGTCTCTCACTGATGTCGCGGCGCTCATACATCGTTGTTATTCACACACGACTCATGTCACGAGACAGTCTCACTAAACAAAATCACGGTTAACTAACGCAGTAACGCAGCCTGTTTATGGGGAAGTAACAGTAATCTAATTGCTGTTTTTTCTTTTGTAATCCCTTACTTGTTACTTGAAAAAAGTAATCGGATTACAGTTACGCGCAGTGTTGGGTGTAACTAATTACTAAGTAATTAGTTACTGTAATTTAATTACTTTTCCCTTAAAAAAGTGAAGTAAGGGATTACTCTTCATTTATCTGTCATTTAATTACAGTTGCTTCTGATGTAATTGAGGTACATTTATGAGGTGTCTAAATCGTACGACCGCACTCGTACACATTTGTATGGATTATTGTAAAATGTGTATGAAAAAAAGTGTGAAATGTCATGAGATCAGACATAAAACAATAGTGGGTTTAACATCAAAATGTATTGTCTGATGTTAAAAAGTATGTTTTTTTAATGTAACCTTCTCCACCTTGGTCAGTTTAAGGATAATTCATGCGATTTTATAGTATTTATTTAAAAGAATTAAAACAGATTCATGTCTATCCTTGTATTATTCAGGTGGTTGAGATTGATATGGGATTTTGAAAGTAATTAGTAATTAAAAGTAATTAAATACTTTTTAAAGAGAGTAATTAGTACAGTAATCTAATTACACTGTTGAAGAGGTAATTAGTAACTAGTAATTAATTACTTTTTTAGAGTAACTTACCCAACACTGGTTACGTGTTACTTCTAACGCGTTACTGCCCATCGCTGATTGTGATACAATCACAGATTGAAATATCTTCAAAATAATCGGGCAGTGAAATAAAATCAAACCGAGATGACGGATAAAAGAATCACATTCATGCTCCGATCTCGGCTTCATCAGCCACATCATCTATATCACCTTTTAGCTTAGTTATAGCTTAGTATTAGCTTAGCTTAGTTAAGAGTAAGTCGGACCTTTCACAAGACGCGATGTGGTCCTTTGATCACTTCTGGGTGACCACTCCGTTGACAAAGTGAAATATCCAAGGGGGTAATCCATCAGCCGGAAGCTGAAGCCTCGCGGGAGCTGCCATTGTAGCAGAACTTCACCTGCTGTTAGCATCCCATTGACTCCCATTCATTTTTGCGTCACTTTGACAGCGAATAACTTTACATCTGAGGCATCCAAAGACTTAATTTGTCCATTATTTATTTCTAAAGAAACATGACAATGTATAAAAGGCTCCATTACCTTGGATCTTACGTTATGGCCCCGTAGAAGCAGTTTTTGTAAAACATAGGCTAACGATTGCGTCAAAACGAATCGACTCTCCGTGGCACAGTTGAGAAATGACCGTATGATCTACATTTTGATATTGTGAAATGGATATTATTAAACTATGTATAAACAGTTATTACTTTATTTCAGGTTCTATTGAAGTTTGAAGATGTGGCACGGCACAGCGGGTACAGTGGGTACAGCGGGCATCACATCTCCAGGAGGCTGGCCGGGGATTCACCCATATTATGAATGATATAAATCTGGAGGATGAGGATCCTGTTCTAGATTGTAATAGCCCACAGATTTTAGGGAAATAATTGTAGAATGATAGGTCTTGTATCTTCTGAAATAATAAAATGATCAAAATCATAAAGCGCCTATTTTTTTCTTTTTGTTTACTATAGCACAGACAACATATACTATAATATTTATCACATTCAGCAGTTTTATATCATTTAAAAGGGTTTTCTGTAAAATTACACTGGAATATTGCATATAACACTGGATATGGGTATGAGCAGAGTTTAGATTTGGGTAGGTGGAAATTACATAAAAAAGGTAATATTCCTCCCTTCAGATTTATTTTAATATGTTGTTTCATTTTTTTATTATATAGAATGAATTCTTTTTTACAGTGTTTTCTGCCATCTAGAGGAAACAAACAGCCATACTTGTCTTGTTTCAAAAATTTATTTAAAATTAAAAATCAAAAAGCACCTCTTTTTTGTGTGTTTATTATAGCTCAGACAACATATACTTAAATGTGTATCACTTTTAGCACTGCACTTTATGAAACTGCAAAGGGTTTCTTGTAAAATGACACAAAAACTGTGTATTTAGGACAAAGTATGTGGGAGTGGGAAGCTTTTTAATTTGGGTAGGCCAAATCCTGGCGGAAATCCACCCAAAATGGCAAGAAGCTTAAATGGCAATTTTGTACTAATTTCATCGGTTAACTCTCACTCATTACATGGCATTAGTGGTTTTAAAGGAATAGGAGTAGGTATACATATTCAAGGGCGTGCAAAGATAGGTGGTGCTTAAGATCATATGTTGTGGGCCATGTGTGTGTGTGTGTGTGTGTGTGTGTGTGTGTGTGTGTGTGTGTGTATGTGATGCTTTTAGGCTACTAAGTTTGTGCTAGTGAAACCACAAATGCACAGCCCCAGAAGTGTTGTTAACATCATGATCACACTTCATCCATATATACACAGCAAAAACACCAGTGTTAAAATAACTCTCCTGAGAATTCATTTTAGACCACACTTAAAACTGTTAAAACAAAGGTACATTAAAATCTCAATCTCATGAGCCCAACTTAAACACTGATCACTATAATGGTGACTTAAAGGTACAATATGTAGGATTTTTGCAGTAAAATATCCAAAAGCGAGAAAATTGCGATGGTAACCAAGGAAACGGGGCGTGTGAGCAGGGCTGAGGGAGTTTCCAGTCAATGGCGTCATATCCACGTTACCCTCAGTTTCTGCTCAGACAACCACAGTAACCATGGCGACAGACGTGGAGAAATGGAGGAAGAGTTTTTTTCTGAGAAGAAAAAAATAAAACAAACTCAGTTTTTGCTATTGTAAATATTGTTGCAGATTTGCTCACAACTCACCAGTTTTTATTGTTGTATTGCAGGCATCTCTATTTCCTCCGGGTGTCTCGAGTTCTTCCTCCCTGCAAAATAAAAGCATTGCCTGTCCTCTCGTGTGTGTTTATCATGATTGCAGATGTTCAGATCAGACGAGTGTGAATCTTCAGAGTGTGTGCGGCTCAAACTCACCAGCTCTTCTTGCACAGATGATCTGAAGAAGAATCACAGTAGGAGCAGCAAACACTGCCATCTCAACAATACTCACAATCACTGCAGGAAACATGAGAGGAAGAAGAGAAACTGGACATGACTGAAGTCAAGGGTCTTCATCTATCAACAGTTATTGATGAAGCATTTACAGACTGACTGATAGTGTAATGTTAGAAAGCTGTCCGTCTAAATCAACGTGTCGTACCTCTGTATAATAATCCAGCAGTTACTGTGGGACGTGCTGTTACTGTAGTTGATGTAGTTGTAGTCACAACTATTAGAAAACAAGATGGAAATAGAAATATGTCATATTTTAATACATGAACACAATATATCCTTTGAGGTTTCAATACTGAATTGATGGAATTATCCGGCTGATTTTACTGTGGTGTGATCAAACCACTGAAGCGAGAGTGATGATGTGTGCCAGTGGTCATGTGATCATGAACCTTGTGTAGGAGCTGTTGCTGTAGTTCTGCTTGATGTCTTCTCAGAGTTTGATCTGCTGACTGGAGTCAGTGTTGTTGAAGAGACTGGAGCTGCAGAAGATGAATGTTCACACACATCACCTGTAGGACATTAACATCATATCTTCACATTGATCATGACATGCAGTTTGTGTTCAATCATCACAGCTTACAGTGGCAGTAGTTGAGAAGAGAGATGTTACTGGATCATTTATTCCTGCTTTATATGAGAGTGAAACACAGTTGAGCTGCTTCCCATAAACCTTCAGCTTTCCTGAATGAAGGAGATTATTAAGCCGTATAACTCCTAAAGCTGAACTCCTACATGGGTCATACTAGGCTTTAATAGACTCTTATGATTTATGCAATTTATCATGTGTGAAATATATTGGGAATTATAAGGATTTGTATGCACTTTATGACTTACTGATGATCACTAATATTTACAATTTCCAAACGTATGAAGTCATCATAAAGAGTAGAGCCAGTCTGTGGAAGTTTTCTCAAATCTGTCTTCTAACAGTGTTTCTCACCTGAATACTTGACAGTGTATGTGACTGAGGCCTGGAGTTGATTTCTGAGAGTAACCTGACATCTCCACTCTCTGTTGTTATCTTCATTCAGGAGTGTTGTAGTCAGAGTGATGATGTTATAGCGATCTGATGATGATGATGATGATGATGATGGTGATAATGATGATATCTGATATCTGGAGTCTGTCTTCAGATCAACACCAGCCTGATTCACCCACAACAGCTCAACTCCATCATAACGAACCCAATCATCACAGGAGTATCCAGTATATGAATATAACTGACAGGAGAGAGTCACAGAGCGGCCTGGACTGATCTCAGTCTGTGAGGATGATGATGATGATGATGATGATGATGATGGAGACACTGAAACTGAACACAAGACACAAATCACAGACTCTTCAATCATCATCCGAGTTTAATAAAGAATCTGACCATTTTTAAATTGAACATATAATCATAAACTCACCATGAAGAACATGCAGATAAACATGTGTATCAGGACCTTGTTGTCTGCCGTTCACATATTGTCTGCAGCTGTAAGATCCATAATCTTCTTCTGTGACGTTCTTGATGTTCAAAGAGCAGTCAGACTCCAGACTCAGTCTCTCATGTCTCTCTGTGTCTTCATTCTTTATCCCTAAATTAATCAGTTCATCTGCTACTGAATGTCTGAATCTGTTATAATAGATCCATGATGTTGATTTGCAGTCAGAAAGAGTTTTATTACAGGACAGACGGACATCTACACCAGAACTGATGAACACATGATCCACTCCACTGGTGCCTGAAACACAGTAGATCTCAGTGATCATGATGATATTTATTAATAAATTAAACCATAAACCATACCAGCATAACAAGCAGAAGATTACAATCATACAGTATTTTTCCGGTAACGCTTTACAATAAGGGTATATGAATAATCATGTACTAATAACTGAATTAATACTTAATTCAGCATGATCTAATGATAATTAAAAACAGAGGCGTAAAGTCCAGGTTCAGAAAGTAAAAGTCCTCCTCAGTATTTTATTAAATCACCTGTTTTTGCTCATTATCAGCGCTGCACAATATATCGAAATATCGCAAATGTACACTGTTAGCAATTGATGTAATTTTTACAGGAAATTTTTACAACAATGTATTGTATTTGCGTTTTACCTGTAAAAGGCAATGCATCATGGGAAATTAATGGACAGACCTGTATTATTATTGTAATTTCACTGTATTCACGGAGTTTTACAATGGTTTTACAGCCACCGCGTTGCATCATGGGATCATCGCGGTCTGAATTTTGAATTTTTAGGCGGTTAGTTCTAAACGTACATTCTGGGAGTAAGCCGTCATTCAAGAAGACGGAAAAGAAGCAATTCTGGGACGAAGGTAAGTTATCTTCACGTTATATAATTTACTGTTAGCGTTACACATGTATTTTTATAGCGTAAATAAAACGTTATTAGTTCTCGTTATCTGAGTGGATGGTGACGGTTTCGTCTGCTTTGATTAGATAACATTTATTCTTCCATCAGTCCATTGAAATCGGGTACGTAACGTTACTGGTAATTGCTAACATTTGCAACCTTGTTCTTCACAAATTGATGCTATTTTAATCTGCCTGAAGTAACGTTAACGTCAATATGGTTCTTTCACTGTTTGGATGGATTGGCTAGCTAGCTCGAATCTTATTTAGGGCTGTCAACGAATATTCTAAATTCGAATATATATTCAAAAAGTTTTAAAAACTGAAAATGAATATTCGAATGTGGAAAAACACCCCCGCGGTAGCGCGGCTGTCTGCTTTCCGACTGGGCGCGGCGCGCTGTTGCCTGGTATAACCATAGACTGGGTATAACTTAGTTATTTGCTTGATAGGTTTGATTAGTTACAACAGTTTCATGCACTGCAGGCTTCCACTGGTTTGATTATTTACTGTTTCATGCCAAGAAAAAGTTACAAGCTCGCTCGGAGCGTTGATATCGTTTCTCTATACTGCAAAACTTGAATTAATGTTAATAATATTTATTTCAATCACCGAATGAAGCCAGCTAACGTTATGGGACAAGCGTCGCGACCTTCAATTGCTTGCACAAAACTCTTGATCAGCACACAACATTTATTTATTGTTGTTGTTTGTTTAAACCGTTATGCAGAGAGTGGTGAGGGTGAACACGAGAGAAAAAGAGTGAGTGCGAGCGAGCGAGAGTAAGGTCTGCTCTGTGGTCTGTTGATTTACTTATTTTTGTGGTAATATGTTGTCAAATAGGTTTGAACTTAAATAAACTACCTATACAAGTAGTTATGGCTCTTTGTATGTATTTGTCCTGTTATTGACGTAAAGCGCGTCATGGGCCTGTTCTCGCATTTCAGTGAGCTGACCGAATTCCAATCCAGGAGAAGCTGCCAGATGCCGTAGACAACAGGAGTCAGAACATCATAGTACTTCAAACAGCAGAAGACACCAGGAGTGGGGAAGGTTCTGGATGCTTATGTCTGATGTGAGTACAACTTGCAGTGCATACAAATAAATTAACCATTCCCTCACTCCCATCTCTGTCCTGTTATTTTGTAATTGTTAAAGGGATATTTCACTTTGAAATTAATTTTTGATATGTTTTAGCTTACCTCAAGGGCATCCAAGATGTAGGTGTCTTTGTTTCCACAGTAGTTTAAATTTTGATATTTTTCGGTCAAACCGTTGTTGTCTATCAGTCATATAATACAGCCATGTCCAACTGAACTGAACTGAACCGTGTCCAACGTCCCGCCAGAAGTGATAGTTTGCGTGAGTACGTCACTAATTGTTTACACAGAGATTTCAGGAGTTTTACCTTTCACTAAACATATTTAGATATATCAAAATCGTCTTCCATTGCGATTTTCTGTACATCTAAATATGTTTAGATCTTCACAGTGAAAGGTAAAACTTCCGAAATCTCTGTGTAAACAATGAGTGACGTACACACGAAAGCAATCACTTCCGGCGGTACGTTGGACACGGTTCAGTTCAGTTCAGTTGGACATGGCTGTGGCTACACGAGGTAAAAACGATATAAATACTGTTTGTTTTCTCTCACAAACCGCTCATTTCGTGTCTTAGGCCATCAATGTGTACTTACATTTACGAGTCATTAAATCATGTTTAATTTGGACTTCTCTGTGCATGCTCTTTGAGGTGGTGACCATAGACCTCCATTACATGACTGACAGACAGATATCAAAATTTAAAATACTGTGGAAACAAAGACACCTACATCTTGGATACCCTTGAGGTAAGATAAAACATACCAAAAATGTATATCAAAGTGAACTATTCCTGTAATGTTTCATGTCATGGTAATGACCATGTCATATCAGTCTTAAATGTTATCTGATAAGTGTGTGTCCCTCCCTGTTTTCAGAGCCTTTTGCGGCATCCCCAGATGGGCAGGCAGAGAAAAAACGTCCAAAATGTGCATTGTGGACTCGTTTTCTCATTAGTTTTAAGAGAAAATAAAAATATATATTTAAAAAAAAAAGTGTTTTGTTTTTCTTTGCAGAAGTCTGAAAGAGGACATTTATCCAAGTTACAACATTTAATTGTAATATTTACAATATGCTGTCCTGTGAAATTACAGAAAATACCTAAAATTACAGGAAATTCCTGGCTACTGAGTTGCCGTAAATATAAAATTTTGCTGTAAAATTTACAGTATTCTATCCTGTAAAATTACAGTATCTTGTTGTAGTTATTTTACAATAGCAGTCCTGTATACTGTTTACAGTAAATTTACGGCAACTATTAGCCAGGAATTTCCTGTAAAATTACAAGAAATTTCTAACAGTGTATTTATCACAATATGCATATCGCAACAGCTTGCAATAACTGAGTGTAACTGGTCTCTTTTCTGCGTTGTGTTTTTTCGTTGACGTGAGAAGAACAGGACAGGATTCAGGAGTTTCAGCGATCTTTTATTCTGATACACAAACAGATTGTAATCAGCCTCTTAGTGAGAGTCGCCATCTCTAGCTCTATAAAACAAATGTGATGTACACTTGTCACACGTGTTCTCATTTCACATTTAGGCCCAGATGTTAAAACATCACTTAATCAGGACAAAATTACGAAAATAGCCACACAGATAAATAAAATAATATTATACACAGGAATTAGAATGAAAATTTAGACATAAAAGCAACAATTAAGATTACGATTAAAGATGATTATCAGGAGCCCAAAATAACATCACCTCTCACTGCATCACCAGTGCAAAGAGGAAGAGGAGGAGACAGAACAGGAAATTATATTGACTCATGACATCACATCAATTAAAGGGAAAGACACTCAACTTCACTTAGGCAGTAATATCAGGTATATGTCAACAAACAATTTTGTGGAAATTCTAATAAACTATAAATACATTTAATAGTACACTTTATGTGCCTGTTACATGAGGTCATGCACAAAAGACAAAGAGAAAATCACTCACTGCTGTTGGCTGAATAACTTCTGTAGTTTTGATAAGATTATATATAAATAATTTTTATTAATAAACATTATATATTATATTTTAATTCTATTTATATAAGTAATTAATACAGTGAAAACTACACACTTATGCCACAGTAAAACATTTTCACAGTTTATTGTCACAAAAGGAAACATGTATTATATAATTTAAAGGGGTGGTAATGTATGATTTGACTTTTCTAACTTTAGTTGGTGTGTAATGTTCGAGCATAAACAACAGTATCAAAGTTACAACGCTCAAAGTTCAAGCAAAGGAAGATATTTGAAAAAGTGACAACTTTAACATGCAATATAAAAATATCTGTGGGGTATTTTGTGCTAAAACTTCACACACACACACACACACACACACTCTGGGGACATCAGAAACTTGTTTTACATCTTGTGAAAATGGCATTTTACCTGTCACGATTACCAGTTGGAGTGCCCCAGAGAATCACCAGAGGGCACTCCACATCAGAACTGATCACTTCACCAGAACTCCGTTTCCCATAATGCCTCATCCCTGTGACTGATTACACACACACCTGCACCTCATCAGACTCTCCATATAAGCCACACTCAAATATGAACTCGGTGCGAAGTATTGCATTGCCACGGCTTGTAATTTCTGAGTGTTTATTCTGTTTCTTGTTTCTCTGGTTTTGATCCTGGTTTGTTTCCTGACTTCTGCCTGTTTGCTGCCTGCCCCGATCTTCTGCCTGTTAACTGACGATTCTCTGTGCTCACTCTCTGGATACCCTGTTTTGCCGCTCTCTGACCCTTGCCTGTTCAACTACTCTCTATTAAAGCTGCACATTGGATCCTATCTCGTCTCCAGCCTTGTAACAGAATACTTCGCCACACAAGGATCCAGCGGCTTTCCCTGTGGATACCTACCATGAATCCAGCAGCACAACTGACCAATATGGATCTAAAAGGTACCATCCAGAGCCCGTTAAATAAACTGTGTTCTATTTATCAATTCAATCGCACCATTGAGGACTATGTGGAGGAGTTTCTTTGTTATAGTCACCTCGTTCCTGGTGATGAGGTTATGCTAAAGGACTGTTTCTGGAGTGGACTAGACCAGGACATTAGCTCAAATTTACCGGAGGAAGACCCCAGCTGGACCTTAGAACAGTATATTGACTCTATCCTGAAGTTTTGTGGATCCCACTTCACTGTAGGGAAGGTGGAGGAGAATGTTACCACAACCGCACTGCCTGAGAATCTTTTCATCACTTCAACCGTCAAGTTAGCCATGACATCGATCTATGGGTGTCCAGGACTGATGTCCACCGTGGCACAGCTGCCGCTGATGTCAGTGCGGAGGGCCAAGAAGAACGTCATTCCAGGGTTCCGTCTTCCAGGGTTCCAGCTTCCAGAGCCTCGCCACGTCTCAGCAGAGCTTCCAGAGCCCGTCCAGCCAGAACCCGTCCAGCCAGAGCCCGTCCAGCCAGAGACGCTTCACGTCACTTCTGCCGAGCCAGAGACGCTTCACGTCACTTCTGCCGAGCCAGAGATGCTTCACGTCACTTCTGCCGAGCCAGTGTCTATGGACAAGATGGCCGTTTCAGAAACTGTTACCATTAATTCTGCCGAGCCTGGGTCTATGGACAAGATGGCCATTTCAGAGACTGTTCACGTTACTTCAGCCAATACAGACATTGTTCACATCACCACCTCCAAGCCAGTGTCTACGGACAAGATGGCCGTTTCAGAGACTGTTCACGTTAATTCAGCCAATCCGGAGACTGTTCACGTCACAGCCTCCAAACTAGTGTCTAAGGACAAGATGGCCGCCTCCGAGCCAGTGTCTACGGACAAGATGGCCGCCTCCGAGCCAATGTTTACGGACAAGTTGGCCGATTCAGAGACTGTTCACATTTCTTCTGCCAATCCAGAGACGTTTCACGTCATCGCCTCCGAGCCAGTGTCTTCGGACAAGATGGCTGCCTCCAAGCCAGTGTCTTCGGACAAGATGGCTGCCTCCAAGCCAGTGTCTTCGGACAATATGGCCGCATCTAAGCTGGTGTCTGTTCCTGTGTCTGTTTCTGTTTCTGAGCAGGTATCAGTTCCTAGTCCTGAACCAGGGTCTGTTCCAGAACAACCAATGAATGTTCCTGAGTGGATGCCTGCTCCTGTTTTGTGGCCGCCCGAGGGGTCCTCACCGCCGTGGCTGCCCGAGGGGTCCTCACCGCCGTGGTCCCCTGAAAGGTCCTCACCGCCGTGGTCCCCTGAAAGGTCTTCACCACCGTGGCCGCCTGAGGGGTCTTCACCGCTGTGGACGCCCGAGGGTCCCACAGTTCCGCCCTGGCCACCTCCACAGCCTGCTCTGCCCTGGTCATGCCCACAGTTTAGTTCGCCTTGGACGCCTGAGGGTACGACAGCTCCGCCCTGCCCTTCGCCTCGTCCTGCTCCGCCCTGGCCTTCGCCTCGTCCTGCTCCGCCCTGGCCTTCGCCTCGTCCTGCTCCGCCCTGGCCTTCGCTCGTCCTGCTCCGCCCTGGCCTTCGCCTCGTCCTGCTCCGCCCTGGTCGCCTGCTCAGCCTGCTCCGCCCTAGTCGCCTGCTCAGCCTGCTCCGCCCTGGTCGCCTGCTCCGCCTGCTCCGCTCTGGTCGCCTGCTCCGCTCCGGTCGTCTGCACAGCTTGCTCCGCCTCGCCTGGTCGCCTGCTCAGCCTGCTCCGCTCTGGTCGTCTGCACAGCCTGCTCCGCTCTGGTCGCCTGCTCAGCCTGATACGCTCTGGTCGCCTGCACAGCCTGCTCCGCCCTGGTCGTCTGCTCAGCCTGATACGCTCTGGTCGCCTGCTCCTCTTCTGCTCCACGGACCTGGCCCTCCATCCCACCCCCAGATCCGCCTCTGCTCCACCACCCACCTGGACAGTTTTGTTTGTTTGTTTGTTTTGAGCGTCTGGAAGCCGCTCTTTGGGGTGGGGCTATGTCACGATTACCAGTTGGAGTGCCCCAGAGAATCATCAGAGGGCACTCCACATCAGAACTGATCACTTCACCAGAACTCCGTTTCCCATAATGCCTCATCCCTGTGACCGATTACACACACACCTGCACCTCATCAGACTCTCCATATAAGCCACACTCAAATATGAACTCGGTGCGAAGTATTGCATTGCCACGGCTTGTAATTTCTGAGTGTTTATTCTGTTTCTTGTTTCTCTGGTTTTGATCCTGGTTTGTTTCCTGACTTCTGCCTGTTTGCTGCCTGCCCCGATCTTCTGCCTGTTAACTGACGATTCTCTGTGCTCACTCTCTGGATACCCTGTTTTGCCGCTCTCTGACCCTTGCCTGTTCAACTACT